ATATATATATATTTGTGCCTGGGCTCAACAGAAGGCAGGGCAGCCCAACCCCAGGTAAGGCAGACAGAGGCTCCCTGAAGAGTCCTGTACCCAGACTCCAGTGGTAGGAGGCACCTGATGCTCTACTGGGGACCAGGGACTTCTCCCCAGCTGACTAGGCTCCTATCCCCAGAACAGTTCACCTGTCTTCCTTATGCACACTTCTCCCTTCAGACATCTCCCTGACCATACACCATGCTAGAAAGTGGCTCCTGGTAAGGCAGACAGAGGCTCCCTGAAGAGTCCTGTACCCAGACTCCAGTGGTAGGAGGCACCTGATGCTCTACTGGGGACCAGGGACTTCTCCCCAGCTGACTAGGCTCCTATCCCCAGAACAGTTCACCTGTCTTCCTTATGCACACTTCTCCCTTCAGACATCTCCCTGACCATACACCATGCTAGAAAGTGGCTCCTGGTTCTTTGGAGCATGCCGGTACTTTACAAGTGAGCTGAAGTAGGAGGAAACTGTGCTGAGGCAGCTCAGAGGGAAAGGAGAAAGATAATTGCTGCCCTTTCTTTGGGGCAGGGGAGGGAGAGCAGGAATGAATGAGTAGGATGAGACAGGGCTCAGAGGCAGCAAGAGACCTCCAAGTGCCCAGGATACGTGGAAGGGAGAAGGAGAAGGGAAGGAAGTCCTAGTAAGGAAGCTGGTTTATAATTTCTCCCCAAGAGAGTGGCTTGGAGCTCCTCACACTCCTTTTCTGCTAGAAATCAGGTGGGTCAAGCTAACTTCAGAAGGGCATCCAAGAAATTGAACCTTTGCCTTTAACATCAGGGATGAGAGAACCTGGGCTGGCTCAGAGCAGTCCCAGAAACTGCCCTGATCCCCGAGCTCGGTTTTTGAAGAATTCAAATTTTCCCAACAATGTGATTCCCTGTATTAAAGTGATGGGCTTTGTCTAGTTCAGGAGGTGTTGACCCAATAGGTGCTGAACATCAGACAAACACATTTTTAAAATATTTTATTTATTATTTTTATTTTATGTCTATGCATGTATTGCCTGCCTGTGTGTAAGTGCACCTGCGTTATGCAATGCTTGCAGAGGTCGGATTGTCTGGAGTTGGAGTTACAGATCATTGTTAGCTCCCATGTGGGTGCTGGGATTGAACCTGGGTCTTCTTCAAGAACAACTAGTGTTTTTAACCCGAGTCATCTCTCCAGCTCCAGACAAACACATTATTATCTGACCCGCCAACACCGCTCACTGGTCCCAGAAAGTGCACTGGTCCCAGAAAGGAGGTCAGGAGGGCTCTCTGTATGAAGGTGGAAGGGGCCAAGATAGGGACAACCAGATAGACAACCCAGCTTCAAAGAGAGGGAGGGGGCAGGGCAGATTCCCACCCCCCACCTCTCTGGCTGCTGTCAGCAAGCTCTGGAGTTCTGCACAGCAGGGGCTTAAGGGAAGCCATCTGGTCGGCTCTAACTTTTTCAGCACCACATGCTTTGCTGAGAGCCCTAGCTCCAGAGGGAAACTCCAGACCTGGCTCAGCATTTAGGGAGCAGTCCAGAAAAGTCCCAGGGAGGGAGCAGTGGCCCACAGTGGTAGGTGTAGCCATCTAGTTGCTGTGCTAGAATTGAGCCAACTTTTACCCACCTCCCTGCCACATCTCCCTGCTCATTTCTGACATCAGGGTGGTACCTATGTATCAAGATTATCATCCCCATTTCAAACACTCTTCCTTATTTCTTTAAAAGGAATCTAGTAAACAATGGAGCAGCATAGTATTCATATTACCATGTTCCTCCACCTAAAAAAATTTCAGTTTTAAAATACAGTGCACTTGGGGCTGGAGAGATGGCTCAGTGGTAAAGCACACTGGTTGCTCTTACAGAAGACCTGAGTTTGAATCCCAGCACCCACATGGCTGCTAACAGCTGTACATAACTCCAGTTCTAGGGGATCTGACTCCCTCTTCTGAGTTCCAAGGGCATTGTACAACACAGGTGTATTTACATACACACAGGCATAACACTCATCGCACGAAATAAAAATAATAAATAACCACATGTAAATAAAGCATACTATGAACACCTATCAGGTAAAGCTTTGGCTGCCATCCTCACCCTATATATTCCCTCTAACTCCCCTAAATAAACAAGTTGTCTCACTGGGGAAAAAAAATAAATAAATAAAATTAAAAAAATTACAGTGCTTTTCTGACCCAATAAGTTTTGTTGCTGATCACATTGCCAAAGGAAATGCATAGCTATGCTCTAAAGCACATGTGCCAGAAGGCTACAGCACTCTGTCAGGATTAGCTTTGGTTGTCAACTTGACACACCTGGGAAGAAGGTACCTTAATTGGGGCATTTCTTCTATTGTATTGGCCTGTAGCATGTCAGTGAGGCATTTTCTTGATGAGTGATGTGGAAGGGCCCAGCCCACTGCAAGTGGTTCCATCCCTGGGCAGGTGGGCCTGGGTTGTATAAGAAAACAGGCTGAGCACAGGCAAGGGGACTAAGCCAGTAAGCAGTTTTCCTCTTTGGTCTCTGTGTCAATTCCTGCCTCCAGGTTCCTACCCCGAGTTCCTTCCCTGACTTCCTCCAAAGATGGACTATCACTTGGAAGTATAAGATGCAATAAACCCTTTCCTCCCCAAGTTGGTTTAGTCAGCATTTTATCACAGCAATAGAAAGTAGAACACATTCCAAACTGCACACTATCCAAAGCTCATCATTCACTGGATCATGTCCACACAATGCTGCATAGCTTAGAGAATGAATGGTCTGCAGTTACATGTGACACTGTGAATGAGTCTTGTGGTACTAAGTAAAAGGAACCAGCCGCTTCTGTGTCAGATCATTTTCATGAAATTCAAGGACAGAACCAACTCCTAACTGCAGCAACAAGGAGATGGCCGTCTCTAGGACAGTAAGCATGAGGAACCCCGAGGTCTGTAGGGTGTTGGTCGTGTTTGGTTCCTTGATTTCATGTGGAACACAAGGCTGTGTTCTCTGTCAAAGCTTACTGAGCAGTCCAGTCACAGCTGCCACCTGTCCTGGTTTGCCTGGGCCTGTTCCCATTTTTGTCCTCAAAGTCCTGTACCCTAGGAAACTGTTAGTCCTGGGTAAACTAGGATGCTTGGTCATTTGCCCAGACTGTGGGAAGAGGCCAGTCACACGGCCTCCATCACCCCAGTCATCTCAATGCCCAATGCAATCAAACCCCTGCCATGACTCACTCCCATGTTTGTGCAGAAATCAGACAAGTCCTGGTTAAAATCAGTGGATGCACATGATCCCTATGCCACAGCAAGGGGAGGCAGTGAGACAAACTTCCCTGACAGGACTGGAACAAGCCATAGGGCAGCAGGGTCTGATCAGAGTGAGCTGACAAATAGTGGCTTCTGCAGGTCTCTGTGTTTCTCTAGGGCCCAGAGACTGAAGTGAGCGCTGGCTAACCTGGCAGCTCCGGAAGAGACAGGCTGAGCCCATGGCTGTGTTCCTCAGGTAACCAGGGACAGGAATATAAAACAAAACAAAACAAAACAAAACAAAACAAAACCCCATCCAGTGCAGGGTCTTTACTCACTATCTCACTATCACCCCCTCCTGGAGCGCACTGGGATGGAGAAAGGCAGAGAAAAGTGTGGGTTTCTTTTCCTTTGCTAGTAGAAGGTGACCCTAAGCAGGGAAGGCAGTGACTCTATGATACAAAAGTTAGGGCACAGGTCCAGTTGAGGGAGGCTGCTTTCATAGGTAACAGTGACAGTAAAACTCTGAGTATATGAAAAGCCCCACTGTCCCAAAATCACCCCCTACCCCCATGCCAAAGCTTTTGTAACAGTGATTCTTAAACCTGCTGGTCAGTAAGAGTCACCTCTACTCCAGCATGATGGAGCAGGCCTTTAGTCTCAGTACTCAGGAGGCAGAGGCAGGTGGATATCTGTGAGTTCCAGGCCAGCCAGAGTTACATAGTAAGACCCTGTCTCAAAACCCAAAACCCAACCCAACCCAACACAAAAAGAGTCACTTCTTGCAGGGCGTGGTGGTGCACACCTTTAATCCTAGCATTTGGGAGGTAGTGAGTTCCAGGACAGCTGGGGCTACAGGAAGACCCTGTCTCAAAAAGACAAAAAAAGCCAAAAAAAAAAAAAAAAAAGAAGAATCACTTCTTCTTCTGGAGACTAAAGACCTCAAGGGTCTAAGAAAGCATTCTTTCAGATCCTCAAGTTTTTTTTAAAGTTATGTATTTTTATTTATGTGTGTGTGTGTGTATGTGTGTGTATGTGTGTGTGTGTGTGTGAGTGTAACTGAATGAGTTTATGTGCATGAAGGTGCCTTCAGAGACAGGAAGAGTGTTGGATCCTCTGGAACTGGACTTTCAGGAAGTTGTAAGCTGCCTGATGTGGGTGCTGGGAACTGATGTGAGTGCTAGGAACCAAACCTGGGTCTTTTGCAAGAGCAGTAAGCACTCAGACTGCTGAGACATCTTTCCAGTCCCATCCTTAAGTTTTGTATGAAAATATTTAATTTCTTTTTTGTTTTGATGAATATGCACGCGTGCACATGCACACACACACACACATACACACACACACATATTTTTTTTCAGAGTTTCAAGTAGCCCAGGCTGGCTATATAGCTAAGGGTGACCTTGAACTTTTGATCCTCCTGCCTCCACTTCCCATATAGATGTGTATCACCATGTCTGGACTTTTTTATGCAATACTGTGGATTGAACCCAGTGTTGTGTGGATACTAGACGAGCACTCTAATGACTGAGCTACATACTCAGCCCTGAGAAAAATATTTTTAATGGGTGCATGCATGCCATATCTTTAAAGAGACCACCTCACAAACGCATATTGCTACACAAGTTCAAGGGCTGCTTCTAAGGCTAATGACTATGACAGGAAGGTTCAGCACAACCCAACAAAAGTATGTGGAACTTGGTTACTAAAATTAACCTTGGATGAACATGGTTGGTATCCTGGGCCCTGGATACAAGTGTGGAATCTTAGGTCTCCCAGTCCTGAGGCAAAGCTTGCAATTTGAGGGGGGTACCTCAGTAATTGGGGTATATTAAGGGTTATGTTGGCCTTTCTTCTTTCCTTCCAGCATTGCTATTGGAAATGGATTGTTTCCTCACCTGATTTCCCAACTCTAATTACTGAATTGCTGTCCTGTTACCTGTTGTTCCCATATGAGGCTCTCCCATCAAAAGTACTTATTAATCAGTACATATAGTGGAGTGAGAAATGAGGCTGGAATTGTGGTACCCATCCTGTAAGGACAGGGTTCTGTTCTCAGACAGTGAAGACAGTGAAGATGCTCAGAGATCCACATCTGGGCTCCCACTTTCCTCTGTGTGGACCCACCTCACAAGCCTGACCAAAGGTTCCTGGCTGCCAGCACTGTGGGCAGCATGGTGCCAGCATGGAGAACTTTGTGTGTGGTACTACATGTGGCTTCAGAAGAGTGATACAAACCACTGACTCACTGGGTACCTAGGAGTAGGGTGGACTGGTAAGGATGAGAATGGGAGCCCACCACCCTTTTTATGTGGGGGGGATCTCCCCTTAACCACCCATCCTGGCTTCTTCCTCATCACATGATGGCAGCAGCCTGGGGACCTTCCTATGGGACTCTGTCCTATTCCAAAGTGTCTTGTTGGGACTCACAGGATATAGCAGATGACTCCAATGCTCCACATGTCCGTGGCATAGCCAATAGGTTCATAGTTGATCACTTCAGGTGCCACAAACTCCGGGGTGCCAAAGAGGACCTTCAGAGACCCGGCATTCTCTGAAACCAAGATGGAGAGGGGTCAGTCACTAGCATATCACAGAGCTAGCTAGCTAGGGGTAGTTAGGCCCCTGCTCTCATCTGTACAGTGGGACCAGAGTTGGAAGGGCATAGATAAGGCCTTGGTCTTCAGGTGTGTTAACTCACACAGGCCACCTGGCCTCTTTTTTAAACAGGTCAATCAACCAGGAAACCAACAAGCCATACACCCAGCTCAAGTGCCCTGAATGGGGCAGGAGGGCGAAAAGGCCATTAAAGCACTGCCCTGAGTAGTCTTTTCATATGTCTGTGTCCCGGGTCCAAGGCAGGGATTGTGATTTGTGCTTAATAATCTCAAACAGTGACTGATGCCAACATTCACATATTCAATGTACCCTGCTACCAGCTATAAAGGGATCTCCCCATATTCTGGTTTCTCTTCACATTGGATAAATATTTTGCCATTACCTGTTTGATTTTCCTCTTTACCATTCTCAGTAATGCTAAGAAGTAGGAATGATACCTGTGCTACTACTTAGGACAAAATGGAGGTGCTGGGAAGTGGGAAAGTGAAGAAGTTTCCCTTCCCAGATCATCAGAAGTGTTCAGGACTTGAACCCAGGTGGTCTGATTCCACATACTCCCCTCCACTGCTTGTCCTAGTTATCCTAGTCTTCATCTCTCTCCTCTCTCTGGCTACTGGGACAATAGTTAGAGAGGCCTGGACCCCAAAGTGGTGCATCTTAGCCATAAAGGAGCAGAGATGCCCATTAGTAGGCCAGTGCCAGCTGCTGGAGATGTCAGCAGTGGGAGGTGGCAGAGCTTTGTCTTGGGAGCCACCTCTGGTCTGGTTCAACACTTCAGGGGCTATAGCAAATATTCCAAACAAAGGTCTTAACAGCTGTCATAATCTGAAATCCTACTCCAGCTCTCTTCTAAATTTTCCCGCTGCACTTTAACTGCTTCCTGCTTCCTGGTCCTCAGATACTGCTGTTCCCACAGTACCCCTTCACCAGGTAACTGGAACACTGTGCTACCCGGGTTCTTCACTGCCAGCTCATGAGGTCAGGGCCTCCCGATTCAATCCATTTATTGGTGGTTAGTTTCTAAAGGAAGTCCTGTGTCCTGGCTGCTGCTCCCACCCATCCCTGTAGCTGAGGAGAAAGGGGTTGGGGGAAGAAGAGCAGGCACATTCTTTCATCATCAGGACAAGCTCTGGTCCCACTGTACTGACCATTAAACAAGTTCAGGCCTATCAGGACCTCATTCCCTTATTGTCCTCTGGAAGATGAACTTGGCCTCACCCTTGACTGAGTGTCTTGGGAAGTTTACCAGGTGGCATGAGCTTGGTCAGCCATTTCCTGTTTTCTACAGGGTGTTGAAATAAAGACCAGCTCACTCCAGCCCTGTGGCTCTGTATTAACAGAACAGTGGCTGGAGGGGAAGGGGATGTTGTTCAAAGACTGGCACATCAGGGAGCTGAGCTGCAAAGGCAGAGTGGACGCAGGTGGTATGTGAATCACAGTCATTGACTACAATGACTTCAGTGCCTGAGATGAGGCTCCAACCACTTCCACCATCACCTCCCTCCTCCTGGAGATGTCAGAAATAAAGAGTGGAATGACGGGACAGCAGATGGGCTCCAAGGAACCTTGAGCTTGGTCTAGGTTCCCTATTCTAGCCTCAGCACCTCCCTAGCTCATGGTGGGACCTGCAGGGCAAAGTGGTAGAGAACCTGGGCCTCCTAGTGTTCAAACTGGAACTCAAAGTCTCCCTACCTTCCACCCACTAAGAATCAATGAAATTTGTTTTATTTTTTTCTTTTAGTGTGAAAGTACTCTGAAAACTGTAATATGAGGCAGATGTGAGATGCCACCATCACCAAAATGAGTTGTTCTACTAATGTTTTCACCACCACCATTACCACCACCACCATCAAATAAGTAGCTAATGCACACTTGGTGCTTACTGTGTATAAGAGTTGTTTCTATTGCTCTATCTGAATTAACTTGTTAACAGCCTAACAGCTGTATCGGACAGGTATTGCTATTAGTCTACCTTACAGAAAAGGAATTTGAGGCTTATGGTCATGCAGCAGTAAGTGGTAGGGGCTGGATTTGAACCTGAGCAGTCTTCTTGGTCTCTGACTTTGATCCCCAACTCTATATTTCTTTTAATACCCAGTATGTAGCACAAATAGCTATTGCCACTGTACAGTAGTGACAATAGGACAGGCAGGTGGGCCTTACCTAGTCTTCGGGCCAGACCGAAGTCAATAAGCTTGATCCTGGTGCCTGTCTTGTTGACACACATGATGTTCTCAGGTTTGAGGTCCAGGTGCACGATGCCCTGCTTGTGGATGTACTCTACCCCCTCTGAAATCTGCCTCATGTACTTGATACACTCGCGCTCAGTCAGCTCAAAGTCCTCATCAATGATGCGCTCAAACAGCTCACCCCCTGACACACTGTGGGGACAAAAGGAGGCAGAAAAGGCATTGTAGTCACAGCATAGTATAGCAAAGTGTCCTATCAAGGTAGGCTGGTGTGTGTGTGTGTGTGTGTGTGTGTCTGTCTGTCTGTCTGTCTGTCTGCGTCTGTGTCTCTGTGTATGTAGTTCTTACAGCTTTCTGACCACATTCAGTTTTCCACACATACACCTGCTAGGCTACTGAAGGGCTCTAGGAAGCATCTGAAATTAGGGAAACCTTCGGGTCAGGAATGAATGGAGAAATTTTGATATGATTGCCTTATTTAAAAGTGTGTGACCCCTAGCAGCCTCTTTATCTTATTGGCCTTAGCTCTGGTCTTTTGGTCTTAGGGATTGACATATCTTCAGCATCTGTGGGCATTTATTTTGTATATCCAATAGTGGAAAACTATCTGTGATAATTAGAAGCCTCAACTTTTCTGGAGTTAGTTGGCTGTAACCTATTGTACCTATAGTTGCAATAGATCTGTTGACTCAGGCAACTTAGTTTTTTCTCTAGCCATGACTAACTTGTCTTGCTGGGACTCTTTCCTTGCCCAGGCTGGCTGTATAGTCCTTTCTACCTTGTAGATGTTGGATGCTGGTCATGTGCAATTCATTCTACTCTGGGGTCCACAGCTGGGCATCATCTGCTAACCCCAGGCAGCCAGCATATCACCCTACAGTGCAAATGCACAGGCCTGATGCTCCAGGTGCATGGTCCTCTCTGGACTCCTATCCTAGCCCTCCAAACCCACATTCCTTGCTCACTGCTCAGCAAGTTAAAAGTATGTCCTTGGTATCCTACACAGTATCCAAGTATCAGTAAACTCATTTTTTTATAGCAGCCTGTATGTCCACCAGATGAATAATGCTTGGCTGGGCTTTATTCTGGGACTGTTTACTTACAAGAGGTGGCCCTTCTCCCAAGGGAAGTCACCATGAATGGATAGAGCTATAGTGAATCCTGTCTCTTCCTTTTGTAATCTGTAGCTTTATGTCAGGTGGATCTTGTCATACTCTTGTAGGAGAGACAAACAAGACACCTTCAGGGTATATGACCTCCTGAAAAGGCTGAGCTGAGGAAGAACAGTGTATGTCACTGGCCACTAGAGGGAGCAAAAGCTACCATGCTAGGACCAACCATAGAAGAACCTTACATAGCCACCAGGTGGGGCTTCTTGTCCTGTAGCCTTCCATTTCTATTGATTCCCAACAAGGCTCCAAGATAAACTCTAATTTACATTGTTAGGTGACAGCAAATTCTTAACACCTTTGTACCTCAATTTCTTCATCTGCAAGATATAGATAAAAATATCAGCACCCCACAGGGTTGCTTCAAAGATGGAATGACTCAACAATATAGGCAAAGTATCTAGCATGTTAATTATATATATATACATATACCTGTATATATGTGTATATATATATATATATTTGATTTTAAACAATCATTTGGACTTATGTTGAAAATACATGTTCCCAATCTTCTCCCTTAAAGATCTGGCTTTGTAAAGTCTTGGGTGGGATCTGAGGATCCATGTTTTTAAGAAGTTCCTAGGTCACTCAAATGATTAAACATGTTTGGAAAAATACTAGCCTACTCCATTACTATTCCTGTGAGGAACTGAAAGTCACATTCTTGGAGAAACCACTCCCTATTTCTGCATATGAAATGATCCCTCTTGTGGGTGTCTATGCTTTGTTTCTTTTTGATACTTTTGGTATTAAGCCTGTTTTGTCTCAAAGTTGTTGGCTGTCTTCATAATGTGCAAGAGTCCTGGCTCATCTCAAGGCCCTCATTCATACCTGCAAGTATTTGGTACAAACAAGGCACCCCCAAATCGCTGCCTTTAAGTTTAAAATATTCTGAGAAAGTAACCATTATTTCAGCATCCTGGGGAACTTCTGAGCATTGAATACAGATATCTGAACAATGCAGTTCATAAAAGTGCATTTCTGGAGATAATTTGTTCAGCATCAGCTCAAATAAATTCAACCTTATTCAAATCTATTTAATTTTTTTTTAATGTTCTTATGGTCTGCTTCCTAGGATAGAAGGAGTTAAACAGCACATTTCATGGTTCTGTAGATTTCTCTTTAAAATGCTCAAGACTATTTGTAGAAGGCCTTGGTTTGATAAAGATGACCACCCACAGACATGGGCCAAGATTGGGCCACATGAAATATGTTCTTAATAAACTGATAGTATATGAATAAATGAATGAAGGCTTCTATTACTATGGCTACTCATCTCAAGGGTCCAAACTTACCCCAGAGTTCTAGGTCTAGGCAAGCCCTTATTGGCAACCAGAGGAGATGATGCTCTCCAGGGACTTACTTGGTACCCAGTCTTTCTACTCCATGTCTCTTGGCAGCCAGTTAGATGCTCTTTGTTGAATTTTGCTAACAGTAGAACAAAGATGACATTAGCTGCCAGGGACTCAGCTGAAACTTAATACTTTTTCAGGGCTTAGGGTCCCACAACCATTTGGACTGTCCCAAACACTTCCAAAATGACAAGTCCAGGCCCCAGGCCAGCAGTCAGAAGGGTCCTTGTTGCTGTACAATGTGGGTGGACCAAAAGTCAGATGGGCTGTAGAAGTAGTCTTTCTCATTTCTCACATATCTGAGGCAGCTGAATAGAAGACAGAGACCCTGGAATACACTTTCATTTTATTTATTACCTAGTATCATCCTTTTCTTAATCTCATTTTCTCCATCAAATAAGAATAGCAAAATGCACTGTTGACTGTCACAGTCTATCCCCTGTCTGTGGTCACATGTTAGAATGGTTAAGGTAGAAGGGATGAACAGGTGGAGCATGAGGCCTAGTTAAGTTCCTGTCATAGGCAAGCTCAGGACCCTCAGTACAGGTAAATCTGCTGGCATCTGTGCCTGTGGGACTTGCTCCTGTCCATGGGGGAGGAGTGGGGTGGAGGGATGAAAGCCAGACCAGCTGAAACCTCCTTACATTTCTCTCTGCTTTTTCCATCAAGCTCGCCAAGTCCCAATTCCAAGCTAAGTATGGTATTCTGCCCACTGGTGCTGTTGCCCGGCCTTATCCTGCCTCCTGCCCCCTCTCACAAACTTGCTCAAGGCTTAACTTCTAAAGATAAGACATTTCTCCACATGTCCTCACATGCCCACACTGCCTGGACTAATCAACTTGTTCTAAAACAAATGTGAAAATCTCAGCCCACAGGGTATTGAGAGGCTGTGATGAGAAGGTCACAGACTCAATATTCCTGAAAGTGGTGGTGGGGGTGGGGGTGGGGTAACTTTGACCATAAGATACTAATGGAGATATTCTCTGAGTCTTTTGTGATTCCACAGAAATTAGAATTTTATAGTCAAAAAGGAGACTTGCGATCACTTATTTAAATCCAAATACTGGTAGAATGTAACAATTAGACGACAAAAAATAATCACATCTCATTGGACATGGTGGGACACACCTTCAGTTCCGGGACTCAGGAAGCAGAGGCAGGCAGACTTCTCTGAGATTGATGCCAGCCTGGTCTATCTACATAGTGAGTTCCAGGCCAGCTGGGGCTACAGGGAGACTCTATCTCAAAAACAACAACAACCAACAAAAAACAAAAAACCCAAAACAACAACAAAAAAAACCCCAAACAACCCCCCCCGACACTCAATAGTAGCAGAACTGGAGATCAAACTTTGAATATTAGAGAAGATTTGCTCCATGACATCTTCTTGGATGTTAAAATGCTCTCAAAATGCTTTTAAGTAGAAAAAGAGCAAGAATACAGAAAGTAGTCAACAATCACACACTATGTCTCACAAACACTGTTCCACTTAATCCCCATAACATTCAGGGGGTAATAAGAAGTTCTTTAATAGATAATAAAACTAAGGATTGGCACAGTTGAGTGACTAATTCAAGGTCAAATCACAAGAGGTAGGTCTGAGATCTGATGCAAGGATTATCTGACTCAGAGAGCCGCACTCTTAGCCACTCTTGTCTGTCCTAAGAACATTTTCTGAAAGGAACATGCCTGAATGTTCCTGCAATCAGGAAAGAGAAAGGGCTCAAGTCCATTCTCAGGACTGGTCCTTCCTGGGGAATGCTCAGAGCTGACAGAGGACTGATATCCCAAAGTTCAGGATGTGCAATTCTACAATAGCTCTAAAACACTCAAGTGAACATGCCCTTTAATCCAGCACTTCTTCACTTTGGGTGTGCACAGATCTTAATGAAAATAAAGATTGAAAACAATGTTTACAGAAGCAAAATGCTTGAAACCACTTGACCTTGTCTCAAAAGCAGATGGCTTAAACACACTGTGATGTATGCATGTAGCAAGCTGTGAGGATGAAGTCCTAGCTATGCTAACAGTTTACTGAAAAATGCCAGGTGTGGGATAGTAAATACAACAAATTACCTTTTGTGCTAAAAGGACAATGAGGACATTCATATTGTTATATGTGTTTACATTGTCATGAAAAACTTTGGAAGAATACAGACAAAACCTAGTAAAACTGTTTACTTCTGGTGGTGAGGAGGGGAGTAGAAACAGGGCAGAGCAGGAATGGGATGAGAAGAATCATTTTCTTATAATTCTTAATGTGACTGTACCTATGACAAATTTAAGATTAAACAAAGAAAACCCATGAAAAATGTGGGTACTGTGAAGAACATCAGGCCTACTAATGCCAGGGTTGTGTGTGTGTGTGTGTGTGTGTGTGTGTGTGTGTGTGTGTAGGAGGAAGAAGAGGGAGAAAGAGGTCTGGAAGTAGAAGAAACAATGGATTCTGGGAAAGCCTGTCTTGCATGTCATCTGATCTATCCCTCTGTCTTTGTACAGCCCAGCAGAGAAGGCACTACGCTGTTGAGAAGTCAAAATATCCTAACAAGGGAGGAATGATGACAGTCAGAGGCAGTGAAAGGACTGGAGCATGGCACGGGTTCCACTCCTGGATTCTGAGTTCCCAATAGGGCTTCCTTTACAGGGAAGTCAGGAAGCTGCCCTGTCCCTTTCCTTCCTTCCCTTCCACATTAACCCACCTCCAGGAGAGAAGGCCTATGTAGAAACCCATGATAGCTTTGCCCTTCCATGGGGAGAGGGCAAAAGTTACAAGTGTCCTGGAAGATCTCTAGTTATGGAAATGAGTTCAATGCTGCAGGTAGGCTGCTGCTTAGTGGGTCACAGCCAGTTCTGGTTTCCATTGGTCAGCTCTAGCCATGGGGCTGTTGATGATCTTGCTTATCACAGCCCTGTGTGGCAGAGGTGTCAGGGGTGGGACAGTGGGAGAGGTGTAGGCAGGGATTCTCAGACCACAGTGCCACTCACATTTCCAGAACCATGACAATGTTGGCCTTTTCTTCAAAGGCATCCACACACTGGACCAGCTTTGGGTGGTGGAGGCAGTTCATGATGCTGATCTCCTGCCGGATGTTCTCTTTCTCTTTTGCAGAATATGCCTTGAAGAATTTCCCGGCCCATATTTTTCCAGTTTTCTTTTCTACAAGTCGGAAGACGTGTCCAAATTTCCCACTACCAATGAAAGAGGTAAAAAAGAGAAAACAAATTTAGGTGCGTTCTCTACTAAGTTGGGGGTGGCAAACTGGCCCAAGGGACAGATCTGGGCTACCTCTTTTTATAACAGAGGTTTATTGGAACACAATCACACACCCGTTTGCTTACATATTGTTCATGGCTGCATAACTGAATAGCTGTGACCCACGTACATGACACAGACTTAAGATATTGACCATGGGGCCCTTTATGGAAAGTTTGCTGATCACTGCTCTTGGTCAACGAAGAGCATTTCTACTTAATCTTGATAGGTGGATTTCTTCCCTTCCCTGCAGAAGGACCCCCTGAAGGTGGGTTGAGGTCATCCATCCCCAATACTGACTTACTGAATGGATGCCCTTCTTCCACTCCACTGTAGCACAGACGCACTTGAAACGGAGGAAAGACCTGCTTCCCCTGCTGTGAGCAGGAAGCTCTTCTCATTCCAGCAGGATGATTCCCTTCCCAGAGCATTGTTCCTTTGGCTCCCCAAAACCACTGGAAATAAAAGCTAAGCCACATTTTCTTTTCTTTTCTATCTTTCTTTTTGAGTCAGTGTTTCCTATAGTCCAGGCTGGCTTCAGACTCACTATGTCCCTGCAGATGACCTTGAACTTCTGAATCTCCTGCCTCTACCTCCCAAGTGCTGGGATTACAGATGTGTGTGCACTATCACATCCAGTTTATGCAGTGATGGAGATCAAACCCAGGCCCTGTGCATACTTAGGCAAATACTCTATGAAAAGAGTTTCATCCCCAACTTCCCAATCCCTTCCTTCCTCTACTTTTAGTTCCAAGTGAGTGACTTAGAGAGAGATGGACAGCCTGTTAGCATCTGAGTCACTGGTGTTTTCTATGCCCCACGGAGGAGCCAGTTAACAGCAGTGTAGAACAAGTTCATCTAGGAGCTGTGAGGACCTCTGGGCATGCTAGCAAAACTCCAAAGATGGGACTGCTGGTCAGCAGGTGCTGGTCAGGCTCAGCCACTTCAGACCAAATGCCAGGGATTCTAAAGAGGATCAGATCCAGATCTTGTCTTCCTGTTTCAGTGTTATACTATGAGCAGAGGCATAGAAGACCTTGCCCAAGGCAGAGCTCGGCCTGGCAGAACCACAGGAGCTACTCCAGAGAGGTATGTGCTTGTGGGTCAGTTGCTCCTTACTCTATAGACTCAAAGTCTCAGAGGAGGCTGGGCCCAGGAAAGTACAAGAGGAAGCACTGAAGTTAACTGAGGGACCCAAGATACCCTCACCCTGGGGCCCAGAGGCAATTTCCCACTTACGATCCTAGTTTTTCTTCAATGTCATACAAGTCGGATAATTTTTGTTCAGTGTTGACTGTCACTGTTCGATAATCAACTTCAGGCTCCTTCTCATCTGCAGGGTACAAATCAGGGTGAGTGTGAACCCTCAGATCTATTTTCTCAGCCCCTCCAACCTGAGAACCTGACTCAAGGACAGGTGGCTTCACTTACCATCATCTGATACTTCCACTTCATCCTTCGGCTCTGGGGGAGAAAAAGAGGGAACAGAGAGGACATGATGATTAGCACTGAAGTCCACCAAGAGCAAGGCATACAGGGGGCCTTCCTGGGTACCAGGGCACCTGGCCCACATGAGCACCCCCTGAGGTGGGCCAGTCCTTACTGTAAACAGAGCAAGGTATAGACTAGCAAGTTCTGGCCTCCTTACCCTATTTCTCCACCATGTTTGACCTCGTCCCCTCCTCTCACCTCATGGTCCCCTAGACATGTCCTCTTCCACTTCTTCCAGTCCCTTTGGTCTTTCTGAACCTATACACAATTGTGGCCTTCCAATTCTTCCATGGCTTGAAAGTCAGAAACTAACAATTACTTTCACTGTCAAATTTGTTTACCCATTTGTTTAATATTTGTTATGGAATTCCAGCAGTATAATAAGCATTTTGCTGGTTATATGGGTATACGAACAAAACACATACAAAACATAGTCTCTCCTTTTCAAACGTATAATTTACTTGGAGAGACAAAAACATATATACTTGAAGTATCAGTTACATATGCCATATAACTAAGCATGTACCACACCATGGCACAGAATATGCAATGGAGGAATTGCAGGGCATGGATAAAGTCAGCAATTGTTCTAAAGAAGTCCTTGAGGGGTCTTCCAGGAGAAGATGGAATACAGTAAAGGGTGAATGAGGACACACAGATGAAACCAGCAGGTGTCCATAAGAAGGGACATGAGTGGCTCATACCAGTTGTTTCCACTGATATGCCAGGAGTGAAGGGCAGATGGAGGGACAGGAGAGGTGATCCCAGATCATGTCCACTTCAGAGCCCTAGGCTTTCCTTGTCCTGACATACATCTGGCCCCTTGACCCTGACTTAGTGCCTTTCCCTTTGTGGACCTCAATATCCTCATGTGAAAGAGGAAGGAGTTGTTCAGGTGACTTATAGTGGCCTGACTAGCTCCAGATTGCCATGTATGAAATGCTTTGTATTTTTTAGCCATCATCGCCAGGTTCTGGATGATGGATGGAGGAGAAAAGGTATTGTGAGGAACCAGAGCAAGGGCATAACAGAAGTCAGAGTGGGGAAAAGGGACAACAGAATGTAAATGTGTGAGTGTGAGAGTAGGAGTGAGTATGGGTGAGTGTGGGGATGAGCGTGGAAGAATATGAGAGTATGTATGTAATACAAAGTGTGAGTTCATGTATGTGGGATAGTGTGTGTGTGTGTGTGTGTGTGTGTGTGTGTGTGTGTAAGGACATACAGATGCATGAGAATGAGTTGGGGCAGTGTGTAGGGGGCAGTATGGAAGTGTGACTGTGTGGAAGTATATGGATGTGTGTGTGAGTATAGTATATGTGGGGCAGTGTGGAAATGTGTAGAATGTATGTTTGTGGAGTAGTGTGGAAATATGGGAGGATATGGTGTGGAGATAGTGTGGAAGAGTGGGAACATGCATACATTAGACAGTTTAGAAATGTGGGGCATCAATATCTGTGTGTGGTGGTTTGGAAGTCTGTGACGGTGACAATGTGTTGAGAGGATATGTGTGTGGGGAACAGTGTGCAAATTTATGAGAGTACATGTGCATGGAATAGTTTCAGAGTGTTTTAGAATGTGAGTGTATGTGGGGGGGTAATGTGCGACCCGTTGTGTGAGTGTGTGTGTGTGCAGGATAGCATGGAAGCATGTGACTGTATACCTAGAGGACAGCACGGAAGTGTGTCATTATACGTGTGTGGAATAGCATGGAAATGTGTGAGTATGGGTAGGACAGATATACGTGGGAGTGCATGTGTGTGAAGACAGATGTATTTGGGATAGTGTTGGTGTGTGAAAATACATGTGTGAGGGACAGTATGGGAATGTCAGTATTTTCCTGTGTGTATCTGTATGAGAGTATGTGGGATACTACAGCATATATAAAATCTCAGTGTCTAAGTGCAAGCATGAATTGTGTATGTATATATGTATAAGTGTGTTAGAGTATGAAGGCAAGACTTGGGAGGAATGGCTGATTTGCTGAAGCTCCCACCAGAGCAAGGCTGGGGGAGGAAGGGCAGCTCGTGGTACTTGTAACTCAGAGGGTTGACCAGACACTGATGGCCAGGAGGCTTATGGCACCAGCATGCCAGGCTGTACTTTGCAAGATCCTTGTCTGTAGTAGAGGTGAGGGAGGAGGAGCAGGTGCAGTTAGTCGTGTGTGTGTGTGTGTGTGTGTGTGTGTGTGTGTGTGTGTGTGTATGTGTGTATGCGTGTTTGTGTGTCGGTGAGTACATCTGTCAGGCTGAGGACAGAACACACTGGAACCTGAGCAGGCAATTGGAGAAAAAGTAGCTCGAGTCCACACAGGATAAGTGCCTCTTGCTGAAAAAGAGTTCCAAGAGTTTATAAGCATAAAACCAGAAGCTGTGATCTGTTTAGAGTTCTTAAAATGCTGCTGACAAAGTTTACTTTTAGAAAACTAAACATGAGAGGCCTGGGAAGAACAACACAGAAAGAGAAGAGCTATGGAAAAGGAAAGGAGGGTAAGGCAGGTGAGGACACCGTTAAGGCGTCACAGAGGCTGCTGGAATGTCAGCTTGACTGATCAATGCTTCAGAATCTATAAAGCTGGCAGTAAGTGGCACTATGCAACTCATCAGTGACAAGGATGACCTGAGAGCAGTGCTCTGAGGGCCAGAACAATCAGGGCTCCTGGAGCACTGCCTCCCTCTCCCCCTGGGGGGTGATGCCCTAACCCAGGGGCAGTTCCTCCACATGCAGCTCTGGCCAACAGAGTGCTATACTGGGAAGAACACATGGATTGGTCTATGGCCCCTTAGTAGAGCTTTGGGCATCTGTTCCCAGGGTGCTGGCTGTGTGCAGTTAGAAGGCTGTATTGGAAAAGGTATGTAGGGTTGCTGGAAGGAAGAGCTGCCATGTTAAGATAGAAAAGGTTTGGGAAAGATAGTTAAAGTAGATGTGCTTTAAGAGGAAGTCATACAAGGGCGAAAACAGAGCTACTCAAGAATACTGTAACTTGGAGGAGCATTTCGTTTTATGCCTCACACAGGGAGAACGCTGGAGGCATATGGAAATTATACCAGGATATACGACAACAATAGTAGGGTCTGGGATGCTCAGATTAATTAAATGATGATGTCACATGGGGTGTTAAAGGAAGGAAATGCAAGTCCAGTGTTCAGTGACTGCCTGGTAGATGCCAGTCACCTGCTCAGGTCTTAAAGACAAAGTAACAGTATTTCCTACCAGAAAGGCCCCGTGGTCCTGACCTGTGGTACTCAGTCTGAAAAAGTGGTCCTAATCTGCCGAGCATCCTTTATTTTCTTGACCCCCTGCTATATCTTATTGGAGTGGAAAGGGGTCAGAGTGTTCTGAGCAGCAGGGTGAGGGGAAGCCAAGGCAGGCCTTCTTTGCTTGGTGTCTAAAAAATGGTTTGTGCTCTGCTGGTGACGGAGTGGCATAGTGTTGTGAGCCATGAGGGCCTTTCCCCCAACCTGGCACAGGGGCTTTTCACAGCCAGCCCTGGAGAGGGCCTCAGTTCTGAAGCTGGCCTCTTCCCATTACCCTGTCTTCAGGTAGACCACCACAAAGCAGGCCTCCTGGCCTGGCCACCTGCATGAGTGCCATGCCTGACCTCACTTCCCGCTTCTCACCTACTGTGGTTGGGGACTAATCCCCTCTCTTCAACTGCTCTTTGCAGTTGTTCAAGGCAGCTCTGGGCACTCTCATGAACACCCCAGACTGCAGGGAGTCTGTCTGCCCTGTCATCTTGCCTCCATTCTACTTGAGGGGCAAGGTGACCAGAAGTAGAGAGTGGGAGAAGAGTTGGGGGAAGCCATGGTTCAGTGAGCTGAGCTCTTCTACCGTAAAGCATAGTAGCCATGACAAAGGTTTCCATCTTTCCATGAAAGAAGGGGATAAAATTACAAAAGAAAGGACTTCAGCTAAATAGTTTTAAAAATCTTTTTAGAAAGAACCATGAGATCCAAGAGCTAAGTAGAAGAGCTATTTGGCAGAGGGTTCTGAGATACTTCTGCAAACAGATGAGTCTCATCACCCTGGAGTAGTGTTAGGATGGAGTAGTGTTAGGAGAGGACCAGCAGAGCTCTGGGACTCTCACATGGCATGTCCCATCAGTCCTGGAGACAGAACATTGTCCCTTTCTGTAGAGAGAACATCTGTGTATCCAGTGAGCACTAGAGGGCAGCCTGGCTCTAAATGCAGACTCAAGGAGCTCTGCAGAGCTGTAGCCTGGCTGTGCAGTTCTAACTGCCCTTGGTGCAAGGAGCTGACTGGCAAGAAGCCTCAGTCACAGCTGTTTTGCTAATAATGCTACGGCCTAGAACAAATTAGGAGCAGGAGCAAGGATGGAGGGGACTTAAGAGTCAGAGCAGGATTAGGGTGGGAATAGAATCTAAGATCTGGCTGGAGTGGGGGCCTTGTTCACCTGGGCTTAGGGAGACGGGGCAGGATACTCTCAGGCCAAGGATCCAGATGTGGAGCCGAGGGGAAGCCCTGTCTTCTACTGCATCCCAGTGTGCAGAGCAGCCCCTAAAGCACAGGAGGGTGCCGGATGCTGTGAGTGAATGGAGGGCTGGGTTGAAAACAGATGGAACTGAGGATCAAGATGAAGTAGAAAATGGAAGTTGTCAAGGCAAGAGTGGTGGTGGTGATGATGGCAAGTCAGAGTCGATATGGCTGGGCTTTATGGAGTGAGGGTTGATTGGCACTACTTTGGGTATCACCCTTGTAGCTGCCCACTGAAGTTACCTCCTATGACTACGATTTCTCCTGTTTCTCTGCTAATCACACACAGCACCACCACCTCCACTACATTTCCCAGAAAGCTGTTTCCCCTTTAAGTAGAGAGAGGTGGCTAACCTCACTTTAGAACTCACAGCATCTGAGGAGTCCGCAGAGGACTTCTGCCAGGGAGCGCTCCCTTTCCCCGCCTACCACAGTCCTGTACTCTGCCCTCAGGCCTAAGGCATGTGAACTGTTCTTCCCCTCCTCTGCTGCCTTGAATAATACAGCTGGGCCTGGGATGGGAGCAGCTTCCTGTCGGGAAGCCCTGGGTGGCCTGGACCCTTCCTCTGATTTCAGGCAATTTCACCATTTCTGCTTGTCTGTAACAGGGGCTATGTAAGACTGCCTGGAGTGGAGTTCAAGGGCAAGGCCACCTGCCCACGGGCATAGCACTCCTCACAGTCCTGGTACCTGCTGCCCTGACCTCCTGGGGGCCACACCTCTCTAGGCTCCCTTGTTAGATCAAGGATTCTGGTTGCTTCTGGTTCCCACAGCAGGGCCTGGATGAGTTCCTGTCTAGCCAATGAATTTGTTTTTCCTTTGCCTTTCACTTTCCAAATAATAACCTAAAAACACCCCTACCTCACTCTGCCCTGCATACTCCCCAAGCTGTCCCAACTGTAGAAGGGGTGGGGGGAGGGGAGAGCAGACAGTAGTTATGTTACTCAGTTTCCCCCATCAGACATTTGTGGGCAGCTGGTGGATAGGAACAGAGTGAAAGCTGCTGCCAGAATCTAGGGCCCAGACCAGCCTCCTCCATGCCAGATGTGGCTCCCAAGGAGCCCTGCTGTGTATATCCCAGAGGCTCAGGGTGAAGGTGCCCAGTAGGAAGCTGGCCAGATGATAGGGTGAAGATGCTGTGTTTTCTACTGCATCTACCTCTCTTTCTTTCTGGATCTCTCACTGAATATGACGACTGTTTTGTATTTAATTCTTGAAAACTCAGGAAGGTTACTGTAAAGACAGCTCTACACTTAATGTTCCTGATTACATAGGACTTACTTTCTCCCTGTCTCCTTTGATACTTCAGTGTCCTACAAAAGGTGTCTGTTCGAGACCCTTAAGATCTCTCTCCAAGAACACTGTCCCTTCTATCTCTCTACCTTCCCCAACCCCACCCTTTATCTTAAATTCACAGTACCCTTTTCCTGCTCTTTGATAAAACTCAGGATAAAACTACACTTATGGCCTCTTTTCCATTTCTTTTTCTAGAGCAACTATTTTTCCATCTTGTGGAAACTCTAAGGACTTTGATCTGATCTCAAAGATCACTACCAAACAATGGGTTAATTACAATGATACTGAGCCTCCCACCTTTTTTTTTTTGTCCTTGATGCGGTTCACTGAGCCCTTCTTGCAATTTGCTCCCTTCCGTGTCCACAATGGACCTCAGCATTCTCGAAGTCCTTTCTTCTGGTCCCATAATACAACATTATGATGTTGGTACTGATCTCTCTTCTAGTCTCTGGATGACTGTGCTGGATAGCTTTAGTGTCAACTTGACACACCTGGGTTGAGGGAGCCTCAATTGGGGAATTTCATTGGACTGGTCTGTGGCCATGTCCATGGGGCATCTTCTTGATTGCTGAGTGATGTGGGAGGGCCCAGCCCACTGTGAGTGGTGCCACCCCTGGGAAGATGGGAAGGTGAGCCTGTGTTGCAAAAGAAAGCAGGCTGAGCAGGGGCCAGAGGAGCAAGCCAGTAAGCAGCATTCCTCCATGGCCTGTGTTCCAGCTCCTGCCTCCAGGTTGGGTAACTAAGTTCCTGGGCTCCCTGATAAATTGTGACCCAGGATATGTAAGCTAAATAAACCCTTTCCTCCTCATGTTGGTATTGGTCGGTGTTTTGTCACAGCAATGGAGAGACAAACTAGGACAGTGATCCCGTCAATTTTATCTAGTTGCCTACTAAACAGGGAGGCTTTCCAAATCTTCAATACTAGTTTAACCCTTCTTCCTGAGGTTGTGACTCAGTGGCCTGATGACCCTTCCCTTTTGGTATCTCTCAGATACCTCAGCTCAGCTAGTCTGAAACCAGAACCCCTATCTCCTCCCAGATTCCCTGTTTACTGGCCTTCAAGTTATTTAATCTAGTGGGCAGGCTGCCCAACTGACCTCTTCCCTCCATCTGATCAAAGGAGGGCAGGCTTTGGGCTACACAGCTCTGAGTTCAAGGTTCCATTTGTTATTCGTAAGCTCTGTGACCTGGGTAAGAAGCCTCATCCCTCTAGCCTTATTCCCCCGTAAAGGAGGTCAATAACATTGCCTGCTTCCTTGGGATACTAGGACTGAATGAAAGGATGTGTGAAAAGTGATGAGGATGCTCTTAGCATATAGCAGATGCTCAAGGCATGCTAACCACAATGACTCAACATAACGAACCTCTAACTGGTTCTTGAATGTATGCTCAGTTACCCAAGCCAGGAACCTGGGGTCATCTTAGACTCTTCTAGTTTTTTTCTCTTTAGTTCTCTAAATCATCAAGAATGGTCCACTCTGTATCCTGGGGCTTTAGTTCATGCCCTTCTCATCTCTCTCTTGGACTTCACCACAGAGGCTCATCTGGTACCTAGCTGACTCCAGTCTTATCCCACTAACCCATCATTCACCTTAAGGCTTCTCAAATCTTCATGTATATGTGAAACTCCTCAGGAGCAAATCATGTCAAAATGAAGTTTCAGGAGGCCTAGGAGTTCCTGGGCTGAGAGTGTGCAATCTACTGAGCTCTCAGGGTGACGAGGCTACCACTCCACAGCCATGCTTCAGGCAGCAAAACTACTACTTCCCAAGTATCCTTTCTAAAAGACCAAACTCATCTCTCAATCCCTTGCCTGTAGAGTTTTGGTGAACATCACAAATTTTATCTAAACTGTCCTTTTCATCTTCCTTCTGTTCTGTCTCACACAACATATGCCCTGGCTGTGCTCAAGCTTCTCAGAGTGCTACCCACTCCCATCACTTCCTGCCCTTGCTCAGGCTGTGTCCTCTGTGTGGAATGTACTTCCCTTCCTCTCAGTGTCTTAGTCCCTTTTCCAAGACATTGCTTAAGTGTCACCTCCTCTAGGAAGCCTTTCAGCCTTTCTGGAAAAATTCCCTGTGCTTTCTGCTTTGATCTTTATTTCTGTCACTCTAGTAAGACAGTCAGTCTTATTATTGGCTGTGTATTCTGATCTCCTGCAACTTCCCTGTCTTATCTGTCTCTATAGTCTAAGTCTTGGCGCTGTGCAGATACTCAGCTGTGAGTGCAGGAGAAGCAAGGAGGAGGTGAGGGGTGAGCACAGGAACCTGAGGTCCACCTGACAGCCTGTCTTCCTGGACTGTGCTGATTGACACACTATCACCCCCTGGTGGCAGGGTACCAAAATTGCTGGCACAATGTTTTTAATCATTAGTGATGTTGGTGATGGAATCCAGGGCCTTCTATGTGTTACACAAATAGTCTACCATTGAGCTACAATCCTCAGTCCATTGATTCAAGGATTTTTTTGAAATGTCGTATGTACTTCTTTTAAAATATGACTCAGTAACACAATCTTAGAAATCAAAACCACTAAAAGCCCTGCCAGTCACCCCTGATGTTTTGTCATCTCTCCATACCTCTCTGTATTACAGTCTCTCTGAACCCCTCTCTGTGAAGTCTCTTTAAATACATTCATATTTATTTCAAACCAGTGAAGAAGTAAAGGCAGCCTACCCTCTGGTTTTTCTCCCACAGTTGTGAGCTCAGACTCCTGGCTTGGCTCGCTGGTTCCATAGACGTTGACTGCGCGTACACGGAATTTATATTTGCGGTCAGGCAGCAGGTCCTGGACGTTAAAAGAGGTGCTACGGCATGTGGCTAGTTCCTTCCATGTCTTGTCCTCTGAGTCCCAGATTTCAACATTGTAGGACTGTACAGCACTGCCTCCATCATATGAAGAACCGTACCAGGACAGGGTCAGCGAGGAGCTCCGGATGTCAGAAGCACAAGGTATGCCAGCTGGGGGGTCTGGCTTATCTGGGGATGAAGAAGCACATTGTCACCCAAATTATCCAGAACTGTAGAGGAAAAACTCTCCTTAGCCCCCCTGCTTGGAATAAAATCCAAGTACTTTCTCTTTCTCTCATACACACTCCAGCATTAACCAGTCCCAATCTGAGACATTCTTGAACTAACTCTTCCAGAGGAGGAACAGCCTAGAATTCTGTTCAAGGCCAGGGCCCTGTCTCTTGCTCTTATCCTTTTTTCATACATCACAAAGGTAGCTATACATAAACCTAACAGTACAGAAAGTTCCATGTATACCTTTTTGCTTGAAAGAAACTCTGTCTTTGGTTAGTTTTCCGGTCTACAAGTCATGATTTCCGGTACTTTGCCCAAGCCATAAACATATTTTCTCAGAGTAAACAGATCTAGGAAGCTGCTTAGGAGGCGTGGACTATTTCCCATTGAAAATATGTTTTGAGAGAAAGTACAATGTGTGTGTGTGTGTGTGTGTGTGTGTGTGTGTGTGTGTCCTTTAGCCCTAAGCCAGTGACCTATGACACAACCAGGAGTCTCTTTCCACTTTTTCTGGAACTTGAGAAATGCCTGTCCCTTTGTGGGGGTTGGATAGTATAGTGGATAAGCTCTTAAGTCAGATAAATTTGGCTTTGAACACAGATGTGTCTCCACTCAGTAGCTGTTAACTGCTCTGTGCCTCAGTTTCCTCATTTGGGCAATGTGGATAATAGCATAGGTGTGTTTCGAGAAGGTCTTAGAAAGTGGCTGACTTGACTAGTCATTGCTGCCATTATTCCTGTGGGGGTGTATGTCTAGCCTTATAGTACTTAAAAAATTCTACCTTCCTCTTTGTTGTTCTTTTTTGTGAGTGTGCCGGAGATTGAGGCAAGGGCCTCACACCACACTTGCCAAACATGTGCTTTACGGCTAGGCTACTGCCCTAGCCCACACTCCCAGTCCTGACCCAACCTCTTTTATCTTCATAGGATTGGTATGCAATGAGATAAAGAATTTCAAAGGCAAACCACAATCCTAAATCTTCCCTGTCCTTGATTAAGGGATAGAAAGTGGGCTGAGGACACAGTTTTGAAGTGGTTCTTTCAGCTGGCTGCCTGCCCACTCAGATGACCTGGGCTTAGACCAGCAATGCTGCTCAGCTTAGGTCAAGTCTTACAAACTAGCAATTAAAACCATGCTATATGGATTGATATGTGTGTGAATCCTAGTGAATTTGAGACCAGTTTTGTTGGTATTTCTCATTTGAAAATGGTGTTAACATGTACTTCTCAGGGTTTCTGCAAGATTCAAGTAAACAAACACAGACAGGTAAAAGTACTTGACTTTTCCTTCCCACCCACCTCCAGGCAGACAGGAAGGCCAAAGGGTTTCTGACAAATGACCCTGTGACCCTGTGAAGAAACACCTGTATGTGCCTGGGTACGTATACATATACATGAGGGTATATGTATGCAAATGCAAAACTACATATTCATATGTGCATATATATCCCTTTTCACCCCTCCCTCAGTTCCCTCTTTTTAAAGTTTTTTTCTTTTGGTCCTTTTGAGACAGGGTCTCCTTGTAACCCCAGCTGGCCTGGAGCTTGATATGTAGATGAGATTGGCCTTGAACACACAGAGATCTGCCTGCCTCTGTCCCTCCCAAGAGAGCTAGGATTAAAGGAGTGTACCACCATGCCTGGTTTTTATTTTTATTTTTTATTTTTTTAAAGACAGGGTTTCAAGAATCTCAGCTTGGCCTCAAATTCACTATCTAGTCAAAGATGATCTTGAACTTCTGATCCCTCTGACTCTATCTTCAGAGTGCTGATATTATAGGCATTGCCAGCATAGCTGATTTATGTGGTACTAGGGATACAACTCATACAGTCCTGCATGCTAGATAGGCACTCTACCGACTGAGCTACATCCCCAGCCACGTCCCCTTCTTTGACATTCTAGCTCAACACTCGATAGCTGGAATTTACCCATCCCCAGAAACAAAAGCCTGGTTCTTGCTCTAGGAATGGTTCTGGGACCATGTTAGAGCCACTTCCCAGCATCATATCCACACTGGAGGCCTCCTATGATGGAAACACTTTCACTGGTTGTTTAATATGTTCTCTTAGAAAAACTGTTTGTTCTGAAAGATATATTGGCCTTTTTAGAAACATTTCTAGTGTTGGCAAAGATGTTTATTACTCTAAATCCTCTTAGAGGCAAGTGGTTCAAGTCCTCTAAAGACCAGCTAAGGAAGTTAAAGAACCTACAGAGGCTCACTGTTCTCACCCCAGACCTCCTGGCAGGCTTGTGACAGGCATGGTTAGTCATGAAGGTTTATAGAAGTGTAGACCCTGTACATTGGTGAGTCCCTTCTCTATGCTTTGGTTAGCAAAAGACAACTCACAGAGATGAACATTGCTGAAGAGTTGTTATGAGTCCCTCCCCTGATAGAGACAGCTCTAATTTACATATGATATATTTCACCTCATGCAGCACAAGAAAAGATGCAAAATGTGGGGAGGGAGGCTTCCATTCCAAGTGAAACGTCAGTACAGGAGTGCTTAGTAAAGGCGTTCAAAAGTCCCAGGAGACTGGAACCCCTCCTCCTGCCTGTCCTCAGACCCATGGGTTGTGCCTGATGCTCTCCATTCTTTCCAACCACAGAACCCCCATGAGCTGAGCTAGCCAATGATGAGAAATAGGGCTCTCCCAATAGCCTCCATACTAACAACAACACACTTAGCCTGGGCAGCACTTGGCAAAAGAGGTTGGCTTGGTGTCTGGGGCTGGACCCACGCTTCCTCAGAATTCTCCCAGAGCTCCCTAGAGGCATAACTGATAGAACGGGAAATGCTTCAAGAGAAGGGTTCCTCTGGCACCAGCTGCAGGATTTTATGCTCAGTAAATGGTTCCTATTACTGGGAAAACGGAGGACCTTATCTGTGAGGCTTTCTATTAGCCCAGCTGTCCCTTGCCCTCTTTGTGTCTGCCCACATGAAGTCCATCTGTGCTCCTCTAAGCCTGCCTAAATGTCCATCCATGGATACTGAATTCAGCATCTGTTGGCTGGACCCCAGAACATTCACAAAAGGTACTCCTGAGACAGATTCCTCAGTGCTGGTTAGGCTTTTGTTGTTGTTTTGAGACAGGGTCTCCCTGTAGTCCAGTTGGCCTGGAGCTCACTATATAGACCAGACTGGCCTCTGTCTTTGCCTCCCAAGTGCTAGAATTAAAGGCATGCGCCATCACATCTGCCTGTGCTGGTTAGTTAAAACTGTCAACGTTACACAACCTAGAATCACCTGGGAAGAAAGTCATAATGAGGAATTATCTAGTTCAGGTTGGCCTATAGGCTTGTCTGTGGGGGACTGTCTTAATTGTTAATTGATGTAGGGAGACTCACCCCACTGTGGGTGGCACCAATCCCTAGGCAGGAGTCCCTAAACAGTATAAGAGAGTAGGAAGAAGCTAACTGACAGCAAGCAAGCAAGCATGTGGTTATTCTTGCTTTGCTCCTGACTGTGGGTATGACATGATTAGCTGCTCAAGTTCCTGCCTTGACTGCCCTGAAATGATGGGCTGTAACTTGGAACTGTAAGCTGAATAAACCCTTTTCTCCCTTAAGTTGCTTTTGGGCAGGGTGTTTTATCATAGCAACAGAAAGCAGACCAGAATACTCACTGGTCAGTGGCAGAGCCGCAGGGAGATTCCCCATAACTCTGTGCACCATGCCAGGGCTTGGTGCTTTCTAGTCTATCAGGCAGGATCAAGAGATACCTTGCTTACACTCATGAGCCAAGTATCTCTAAGGGCAATCTCCAGCCCTTACAAATCACACAAGTTCCAAACTTAGATGTATCTGCAGATTGTTGAGTGTTTGGGGTTCTCTCAACTTTGTCGTTCTCCATTACAGTTGGGTGGAGGCCTATTTTTCTTGTTTTGGGTGAGTGACATGAAGGAATCCATCTGAATCGACTGCTCCTCTTCCCTCCTCCCTTAGGCCACAGACCAGAGGTGCAGGCATAGGCTGGGACAGCATCACTAATTCCTGCCCTGCTTCTTAAAATATAGTAATAATTAGCCTCAAAAATAGCTAAGCATATCTCACTTAAACTAATGAGGGAGGAACTAGTTTTTATTGATTTAAAATATGAATCATAGGTTATATGAAAACAAAGAATATGCCATCAGAGAATTTTGCTGCTAACAAGTAGAAGCTACATTAAACTGGCCTTATTTAGTCGGCCAGTTAAATGGATGCTTTTTCAACTGCTTGAAAACTGTCTGCTTTACCTCATTTACATTTTACATCTATTTAATAAACCCTGATCAGACAATATGCAGATGTCCCTGAAGACACACAGGTAAATCAGCTTAATCCTAGTTTACTTTGACCTAAGTCTAAATTCACGAGCTCTGAATGAATGTGACGTCGCTGTGGCCATCAATATAAGTCCTCATTTTATTGAGTGATTCTATTCTTAGCTCTGGGGTGGGGGGAGGCAGACAGCCTGCACTCCATTCCATTCCCCTCCCAGGACGGCATTTAACATGCTGCTCCTGCCAGCTGGCGGGCAGCCACACCGATGGCCATGTCAGCACTGGCCGTGGAGAATAAGAAACTCAACCATAAAAGGCCAGAACTGCAACTTGTGCAGTGGGGCTGGGGGAGGGGAGTGTGGCACCACACAAGGGCGGCCAGGGGTGGGGGCAGGGGGCACTCGTTCCAGAAAAGTAGCTCAAGGTTGTTGCCCAATGTTAGCCACACATGGGGCAGATGAGGGGGAAGCATCAAGGAAGAGCAGAATTGATGCCTGCTGGTAGCACCAGGGCATAGGGCTGGTCAATACTTTCAAGTACAGGTCTAAGCACACAGCAAGCTGGGTCACCAGTACCAGTCCTTCAGAGGTTCCTCACTCTTTGAGAAGTTACAAAGACCAATACCTAAAGTCACCAGAAGGAAAAAGAGGGTGGATTGGGTTCCTCTTTAGGCAAGAAACTCATTCCCTGACACTTAGTATACCTGCCATCTCAGATCCCAAACTCCTGGCCTAAGGAAGCAAAGGAAGGGGTCAGAGGAAGACAAAGGGAAGAAGGAAATGGGCCAGAATGATGGGCATTGGATGAAGACACAGGCAGGGAGAGGGAAAGGACAAAAGATAGGCAGAAAGAAATGGAGCCCATGACAGGGGCATGCACTGAAACTCTGAACTCCCTCTTCCCCTCTGCCTAGTGCTTGGAGGGAGATGTTGCAGGGCTTCCTAACGCTCAAGGTGAGAAAAATGTGGGATGGAGAAGCAAGCTCAACAGCTCCCTACATGTGGACCCTTCTCCCAAAGGCTTGCATGCCATTCTCAAGATTAATTTCCCAGCCAGAGGCTTCTTTGCCTTGGGGACATTTTGTACCCACTCACAGGCCCATGAGTGCATCTTGGAGGGCAGGTGTTTGAGAGCTTGAGCACTAATTCCCACCTGGCCCCAGGCGCTATTACTTGGTTTACGCTGATCCTGTTTCCATTCTGTGAGGACAGAAGCATACCTGTCCATCTTAGTCTTAAGGTTAGTATATGAGATAAAGATGGAGGAGGAAAAACTGGAATCAAAGTCAGGGACCATAGAGTGATGGAGCTATGAGATCTTCAAAGTCACCTCCAACTTTCAACTTCATCTCTAGAAAGTTCCACAGATAGATTTCTGGGGAAGAGTTCTAACCACTGTGGGTTACAAGTCCTAGTCTAACAGATTCTTTTGCTCTGTGGGCTCAACACACACACGCACACACACACACACACACACACACACACAGTTTAGCAAGTAGCAAGTAGGGAGTCAGCTGAGGACCAGCACATAGATGAGAGTTTTTAATGTACTACCTAACAAGCCCAGTAAGAGGCAAGGCAAAGCTCTGCTCCCAAGGCCAGGCCATGAGCCCTGGTGTGAAATTGGAGGTGAAGTTTCTACACTCAATCTAAAGGGGCTTTTCTAGTTTTTACCAAGGAACCCCTAAAAGCTTGAGAGCCAAGGTCGAATGGAAAACCCACTCAGGTTTTATGTGTGTCAAAGGCCTTCATGCATGCCATGTAGAAGGGCCCACCCAGCACAAGATACCATCTACTCTCCATCTGACTACTCCTTTGTCTGTTTGTCCCTCTACTCTCAGTGCACTTGCCACACAGTGACCATGACTACACAGGGAGGGCACTGAGAATCACCCATGATGGCAGACCACTTAGAAAGTGATTTTGTTGTTTCAAGAGGCCTACTACGGCATAAGAATAGTGACTAGGAAAGAGGAGAAAGAAGCAAATGAGGTCAGTCTGGAGATGGACCTCAACTCATTAATGGGGAGTTGGGGATAAGGAAAAGGGAGAGGAGGTGGATTAGGAGACACAGTGACCTCAGAAAAGCAGCCTGTGCAGAATAATGGGGCATGGATTCAAGGGGCAGGGAAATGTAGAGTGCCAGGGGTGAAGGAGCAGAGACCACACTGTCACAGGGTTTACCCAGGGGTGGAGGGACAGAAAGCAGAACACCACAGAAAAGAACCCTGCAGGGCATACATGCCTGTGCGCTTTGCTGAGATGGCAGAACAGGCAGAATGAAAGGCTGAGAGAGAAGTGAAGATGGTGGTGCTCCAGTAGTCTGTGATCCAGAGCACAGAAGGAAGCATTTGCAAAGGCAAAGATGAGTCATTCCAGAGCCTGGGGTCAGTAATGGCACGGCAGACAGACACCTGGAAGTGTGGGAGCCGCCAAGGTGAGCAAAGTAATTCCTCCTGTCTCATAGTTTTCAGAGAAACTAGAGGCCAAGGCCTGTGTATGTGTGTTGGGTTGGGGCAGTGTGTCTTGAGAGACAGAACTGATCCCCCAGACCAGGACAAAGATTTCTGAGTGGCACTGATGTCTCAGCAGGGCCCAGGGGCACCAGAGTATAGCTTGGAGTGTGCAGGTGATGTGATCTTCTTGATACAGTGCTCCTAAATTAGACACAGGAGCAGTAAGGTTGGAGGTGGCACTGATCTCAGGTGGGGATTGCAGGGGGAGTGGGACAGTGGTGGGCATGAGGCAGAGGAAGCTAAAGATCCCAGTGGGAAGGCTTGGAGTAGAAAGACCCAAGGTCTCTAGTGGCCAGAAAGGCAGAGGAGCCAGGAGGGGACTCAGAAAAGGAAGGGAAAGGGGTGGGTTCTGGAGTCCTGTACCAGGTTGTAGGACAGAAAGGATGTGGGAGCGAGGGACAGGGAAGGCAGAGGAGCTGGGACACTAAGGGCAGAAAGGAAAGAGCTGAAGGTGCTGAGGTCCAGGGGTTCATGCATCTTGCCTCCCTCATCCCTCAATCTCCCTGCTTTTGGTTTCCAGACTCACCTACAACAGTGAGGTTGACTTGGGCCTGCCTGTTGCCCAACTTGTTCTCCACCAGCAGTGTGTAGCAGCCACAGTGCTCTTGTCGCGCAGCTAGGATGGTGAGTTTGCTTCCACTCTCGCTGTTCTCCACTTTGATGTGCTCACTAGCCTGGATCTGCAGACAGAGGTCGAGTGAAGGAAGGGCTTCCCCTACTGTCTGTTCCCATGAGCTTCCCTCTAAATCCCTTGCTTTTTCACCTCTAGGACCAACCTCATCCAAGGATGTCTAGATCTGTGACAGGCAAGGAAGGGGCTGAGCAGGGCAGGGCAGATGAACTAGCTTAGCTCTTACTATTCCCAGCAAATGGTTTAGGAGTGTCCCAGACTTCCATCACCACACTGGGATTTCTGGGATGGGCTGATAGAAGAACACACCTGAGTGGTTATTTGCAAAACCCACATCCAAAGATTCTAATTCCTTCTGTGCAGTGGTTGTGAGCCACAAGTCAAAACAACCCAAAATATCCACCATCAACTGATGAACATATAAACACAATATATTATATCTAGATAATGGAATATCATTCATCCATAAAAGGGAATGGTGGGGGACCGGTGAGATAGCTCAGAGGATAAAGTTCTTGTCTTGCAAGTGTTAGGACTTGAGCTTAATCCTTAGCTCCCATGTAAAAAGCCAGATGTGGTGGTACACGCTGTAATCCCACTGTTGGGGAGGTAGAAGACAGGAGGATGCCTGGGGCTTGTTGGCCAGCCAGTTTAACCTAATTGGTTAGATAGGCCAATGAGACACTTTGTCTCAAAGGAGGTGGGTGACACCTGAGGTTGTCCTCTGGAACACACACACACACACACACACACACACACACACACGCACAAGAGAATGCTTATTCATGCTGCAGCACGAATGAGCCCTGAATATATGCTAAGTGGAAAAACCCCATTCAGACACAAAAGGAAATATGATAGATTACATGATTACATCTATCTGAAATGCCCAGAATAGGCAAATCCATAGGATAGAATGCAGGTTAGCAGTGTCAGAGATGGGAAAAAGGGACAAATGACTGTTAATGGTTCCTAGGGTGAGGAATTAGGTACTGCTGATACTTATAAAATATTGTGAATTGACTAAAATCAATATAAATTGCATATAAATTGTACCTCAACAAAACTGTTACAAGGATTTTTAACTAATTAAAATAAAAAATGTGGGGCTGGAGAGATGGCCCAATGTTTAAGAGCACTGGCTACTCTTGCAGAGGACCCAAGTTCAGTTCCCAGTGCTCATGTGGCAGCTAACAACCATCCATAATTCCAGTTCCAGGGGATTTCACCTCCGAGAGCATTGCACTTACATATATGGGTGCACTTACATATATGCAGGCAATACACTCATATACATAAAATAATAAATAAAATATTTTAAAAATGTAAACAGACATAGTGGCACAGGCTTGTAATCTTAGCTGTTCAGGAGGTTGAGGCAGAAGAATCACAAATTCAAAGCTAGCCTGGTAAACAGTGAGACTCTGTCTTAACACAAAAAGGAAGAAGAAGACCAGGGATGTAGCTCAGTGGTAGAGCATTTGCCTAGCATGTGTGAGGTCTAAATCCAAAGTTCAAACTTTATTACTGAAAAATTGTAGTTCTTCAAATTGTGTGAGCCATATTTCACATACCCAACAGCCATACAGGGCCAATGACTACCATATTGAATAGTACAGGTCCAAAATGGTTCCATTATTGCAAAAAGTTTTGTACAGAGTTGGAGCTTGACTAGGTAGCTCTGAAAAGGGATGAGATTCTACCTTATTGGTCAATCTAGGACAGACAAGAAGGGGGCAGGGCGGATAATCTCTCAGCATGGGGCAAAGGGCTTTGAGACACCTACAGGCCATATTTTCTTCTCCATCTCACTTGAGACCAGCTGTGCTTTCCTCCCAGGTACTAGTGGCTCATCTTTGAGCCCAAGACAATTTGCATGGTGTGGAAACCGGTGAGAGGGCTCAGAATGAATCCTTATGCTTTCTGCAGGGTTCCTGATGCAGGGCCAGCCAATCATGCTAGGTTGTCTGCTGATCACACACTTGAGCACCACTGCCAGTGTGAACAGTGAAAGGCTGGGTCTTGTAAATTTTTCTACAAGCTGGTTGTTTAGAAATTCAAACACTTTCACAGGAAGCATTATTATGAACTGTAGATAGACTTCTGGGCCTCTCAGCCAAAATTCTATATAATATATAATTTAACTATCCAAAGACCCAGGTTTGCTTTGATCCCTTCAGCATGTGATAAAGTGAAGCTCTAAGTACAGACAGGAATCAGTGGGCTGGCACAGAATCACAGAAAGTGATGACATCTGAGAGGTCATCTGAGGGCTTTGACTTCCTGCCTCCAAATATGATTCTAGGCAGATAGACACAGATGAGGTCAGAAGGAATTTTATTAATTAACTGTCTATGAAACAGGACTTATGGGTAGGCTCAGAAGTAAACCTTCTTCTTCTTCTTCCTCCCTTTTTTTTTTCTTTTTCAGTAACAGGGATTGAACCCAGGATCTTGTGCATATCGGGTAAGTGTTCTACCATTGAACTACATCCCTGGGCTTTTGTACTTTATTTGGACAAGATCCTTCAAAGTTAGCCAGCCTCCTGCCTTAGCCTCTCAGGGGTTGGGATTACATGCATGCACCACCACGCCCAGTGCTCTCTCCCATTTCCACAGTGAAGAAGAGTGATGCTCTCTGCCTCATGGCATTTCTCATTCTTTTGGCCCAGGTACTGAGAGATAGGACACTCCCCTCCATGACTGACCTGCTTTCGGAACTTCATCCAGGTGCAGGTGATGGGCTGTGTACCAGTCACTTTCCCAAACAGCTCCACAGGCTCTCCTGCACGCACCTTCTGGTCCTCAGGGAACTGGATAATCTGAGGGGGCATAGCTGGGGCAGGGGTAGGTAGAAGTAAGTGAGGAGAGGGCCTCAGGCATTCTAATCACATTGACACTATTGGTTATGATGGTCTATTGGCTCCTCTCTTGCCTTCTAGAATTGTCAAAATATGAAAGGAGGCAGTGACTCTCGCTCCAGAAGATCTGAGTTCAGGGACCTGCCAGCCTTGTTTGCTCTTTATTTAGAGTCTCTTAAGAAGTGACCTATGCACTTTACAAGACATAATAATCTGCTAATTGGCTATGGTAGAATTTGTGCTTCACTCTAATGATCTGAATCCATGTCCTGACTCATTTCTTAATTTAGCACTGCCTTGCTGTCTAACCTTTCAGTCACCCTGACTGGTAGGTTAAATGTAGTTCATACCTTCAAATGTCTTTCCAGGGACAATGCACAACAACTCCAGAAAACAAGGACATCCAGAACAGGAGATAGAAGCAGCGGGAAGTGGGTCATCACACACAGGATGGAGTGGAGGATGGAGGCTGGGGCAGAACTTTGCAGAAGGAACAGGAAACCTACCACAGTTGGTAAGGTTGCACACAGGTGCAGGCAGAGGAAGGATGAGGGCAAGGCACTGGCTAGGAATAAGTTCTTTTGAGGAGCCCTACAGATGTGAAACCTGAATTGGGGAAGGGTCCTCTGACACTATCCATATGGTCAGTTTGAGGGTAAAAACAAAGCCCTCGGTACAGATGACACCCTTACGACCAGGCAGGATTGTGACTGATTACCTGCTTTTGGAGGTGTCTTGGGGGTAGGTTTCTTTTTCACTGTTGCATCACCTGAAACAAAGAAATTTACAAGTTATGTTCTGTTGGTTGTATCTTTCCACAAAGCTTCTGGGTCCGAGGATACTCAAAAATGGATCTTGCCCATTTTTTATCCATAGAGAGCCCTCACTCCAGCATATCTTTCCATGAATCTCCTCACCCTCTGATATGGACAACCTTATGATCCAATGAATCTCAGTTCTCAAGGGCTTCTGCAGGAGTCCCTGGAGCCAACTGGATAGAAACTCTCAGAAGTGCCAAGACCCTCAGTGTCCTAGTCAAAGATTAAAAACACAAAATTCACTAACTGCATGCTCACTCTAACTTTCAGGAAACACAGAAAGGAAATTATGTCAGATAAACCAACTAAAATTAGCCTTGGAATAGATCCAAGGGTCTCAGGCTTCCTTTCAGTCACAGGCTGTGGACTAGTAGCTTTTCCTTAAAAAACAAAACCAAAAAACACAAAACCAAATGTCTGTTCAATGGATCAATGAATGAATGGAAGTTGGGAGTGGTGGCTCATGCCTGTAATACCAGCCTTTGGGGAGGATGAGGTAGTAGTCTTGTTACAAGTTCAAGTACCACCTGGGCTACATAGTAAGTTCCAGGCATGCCTGTGATGCATAGCTAGATCCCTTTCAAACTCACCCCCCTCAAAAGTGAATGAATGAACTATATCTTCAGTATCTTTCCTTCCTACTTTCTCTAACTCAGTAAGAAAAATGACTCAAATAAAAATGTTTCACAGCACAGATCTACTCATCTGGCTAAATGGAAATATGATATACACAGAGAAACATCTTCATCTATCTTTATGGCTTGATTTAATATTTCTTTCAGGCTTTTGCTCAAAAGTCACCTAACCAGTTTATCTAAGTGAAATGAAAACCTATCTACATACACTTTCATGTCAACATTGATAGTTGGTTTATAGATAACTGCCCCGAATGCAATGTGCCAATGCTCTTCACCCAAAGAAAATTTCTCCTTAGGCAAGAGAAGCCAGATTCAAAAGGCTACATACTGTATAATTCTACTTAAATGACATTCTAGAAAAAGTGAAACTATGAAGACAGAGAAAAGATCAATGACTGCCAGAGATGTTGGGGAAGGAGCTCACCACCAAGGAATACAAGGAAACCTATCTTGACTAGGGTGGTCAAAACTCATTAACTACCCTCTATGAATTGTAGCCCCTAGGTTAGGGATTTAGCTCAGTGATTGCATGCTCACTGTACAAGGCCCTGATTTTTATTCCCAGCACCACAAACGTACACACACACACACACACACACACACACACACGAGAGACAGAGAGAGAGAGAGAGATCATAGTTCCTGTCTTATAGCTCTTACCCTGATTTATCATCCTCCCCAGCACTTATCATATGACAAATTATATCTTCATGTGTTTTACTGGGTTCCCTTCCTCTTTCACTGAAGAGCAAAATTTTGAAGCAGGGTTTTTTTTTGTTTTTTTTTTAATTGTTGTTGTTCACTGTTCTATACCCAACATACACAGTAGGGACTCAGTAACTACTTCCTGAATGAACAAGTAGGTGATAATTTTGTGGCCCTGCAGATTATAGAAGACTAGCACCATGATCTGGCTTGGTTGTGGAGCTGCTCTCTGACTCAAGTGGTTTGGCTAACTCTGTGAATGATCCTTTGTATATTTCTACAGGGGAAAGAGTACTGCCACCCAGGTGCTGTCCCTGAAAGAAATGCTGAAAGGAGGGAACCCTCACAGGAACACCTTGAGACCAGAGGGCTGACAACCTCAGCAAACAGCAGTCGGTACACACTACAAACCTGAGTACTGGGAAGAAAACCAAACAGATGTAAGAACTCAGGGCTTAGCTTTATAGCCCTAAACATTAGGAAGCATGGACCACAAGAAAGGCTTTTAACCCTTTTGCCATAAGGAACACTTACAAGATAGCTGCAAATGTTTGAATATGGTCAATAAATCAGACAAATGATAACACTCCATTGTTATTTTCTATTTCGATCATCAAAATGTGGTTTATAAAGCACCCTGTTTTTAAGAAAAATCTACACTAAACTAACTATAGAGGTTTTATGAGTACAATTTTCTTTCAAACTGCTCATAAAACTGCTCAAAATTATGTATGTACATCTATGTGTGTGCAGAAGTAGGGGAAAGAGGGAAAGAATGGCTAGGGTATAGCTCAGTGGGGAAGAGCACTTGCTTAGTTAACATAGCGAAAGCCCTGGGGGCCAGAGGGAAGCCGTTGAGAGTTGAGAGTTGGAGGACTGTCACTGTATGCAAGGGTGGAGGACAGATGTTGGAAAGGGCTCCAGATGAGGCCAGTACAGAGCGAAGGATGATGCTGGAGGCAAGGTTCAGAGGACCATGGGTTGCAAGTCACTCCAGAAGAGACGCCCAAGGAAATAAGGAGGTGGGTGTCCAAGGACATTCTAGTCAGTTAAGAATTCTGGTGCTGAAAGGATAAAGAGAAACAGCGAAGAAAGGTCAAAGTAAGGTTTCTCCTGTGGTGGAGGCAGACTGCCAGCATGTACAGGAGAGGAAGGAGAGCCTGAAGGATGCTAGAGAGGAGGAGCACAGGGAAGTCATGACTAGCTGAGGCATAAAGCCCCTGCACACCTTCAACCAGGAGGACTGGAGTAACAGGCCAAGAGAAGAAGATGAGCAGAGTGATCTCTTTGGGAGGAAGTAAACCACCTGTTCAGAGGAGCTGAGGGAGGGCTATTGTTAGAAGCTGCATGGTGTCCCCTTACAGTGTGTTGATGCTCTAACTCCCAGTACCTCAGAGTATGGCTGCCTTGGGCACAAGGCCTTGGAAGAGTGATTACATTACAATGGGTCATAAGGGTGGGCCCAGAGTCCAACCTGGCTGGTGACCTTAGAAGAAGAGAAGATTAAGAGGGAGGGAGTGGGGAAGAAGGGAAGGAAAGAGGGGGGAGAATGAAGGGAGGGAGAAGTGGGAGAAAGATGGAGAGGAGAGAAAGGAGGGAGCAAGAGAGGAAGAGGGAGAGGGAGAGGGAGAGAGAGATAGAGAGAGCCAACAGAATAGACCTGTACACACAGAAGGAACCATGTGAGGAAGATCAGGGAAAAGATGGCCATCTGCAAGCTAAGGAAAGAGACCTTGATCTTGGATTTCTAGCTTCTAGAACTATAAGAAAACAAAATTCTGTGTTTCAGCCACTCTGTAGCACCTTGTTATGGTAACCCTAGCAGATCACTGCAGCTGTGGGTGAGCTCCAGCAAGGTAGAGATGGGTGGGAAGGAAGGAGACAGTCCTTGGAATGTGAGCTGGGGTCAACAATGAGGTGGAGAGTATGAAATTGTCTGTGCCTGTGCTTGGTGGCTCTGGGAAACCTATGTGGCTAAAGGCAGGCCCTGAATAATTGATCTTTCAATGTTAAGGTTAAATAGGATTAAAGTTTGTTCTATAAATCTGGAGCTACTGCTGTTTGAATTGGTTAGCATTTGAAGCCTGTTTGGTTCCTATTGGTAAGAACAAGTTAAATGTTAACAATGTTCTATATGCTATACATATTTTATACAACCATCTGTTGGAATTCATTAACAGTGTTCTAGGCTCACAGGAAAAGCCAAATCACCGGATTCTAAAACAGTTTCTTGGAGGAAGCTTCTCACAGGTTTCCTACTCTGAGCAAATGTAAGCAGGTACCCCGCCATGTTCCAATTCATGAAGAGGAGCTGAGTCTCATGTGAGACAGGTCGCTTGCCAAGTTCACAAAACCAGTTGTGACTCAGCTCAGAAATAGGACTGTTAGCCATCCTATGTCTGTATGCTTTCTTCCTTTACCAGAATTTCTGTCTTCTGTCTTCCAATTCAAGCCTCTTTTCTGTCTCTTTGCAGAGCTACAGAGGGACCAAAGCTTTGGAGCTGGACTTGGGTTCAAATACTGTCTTGTCGCTAGGTAAGCTGTGGGGTTTAAAGCATGTTATATAACCTCAGAGCTTCAGTTTCCTCATTAAAAAAAGTTTGGGAAGGGCTGGAAAGGTGGGTCAGTGGGTAAAGGTGCTTGCTGACAAACCTGATGACCTGAGTTTGATTCCCAGGACATACATAGTAGATGGAGAGAACTGACTATTGGAAGTTGTCCTTTTACCTTCAAAAGCGAGCCATGCCACACGCACATACACTTGTACTCTCTCTCACACATACACACAGACACACATAAAAAATGTAGTAAGACATTTACAAAAAGTTTGTGAAGCATAAAGAAAGTTTGCTGTATATTTAAACAATATAACATGTAGTGCATGCTTTGTACTGGCCTCTTTCTTCACTCAGCCCTCTTTCCCAAATAAGCAGATCCCCAAAAGACTTCTCTGCCTCCTGGGACAAATTTAGCTCTTTCAGTATTTGGTAACTGTGATGGTTAATCCCAATTGTCAGCATGATGGGGCTTAGAATCATCTAGGAGACACATCTCTAGGTGGGTCTATAAAAGTGGTCCAGAGAGGTTTACCTGCAGAGCAAAGAATATGGGTGGCCTCATCCTAGAGTAGGGGTACTGGACTGCATAAAGTGCTGAGCACCAACATTCATCTCTCTACTTTCTGACTGAGGCAATGTGACCAGCTGCCACACGTTCCTGCTACTACAGCTAGAGCTGCTCCTGCCACCGTACCTTCCCTAGTGATGGACTGTACCCTCAAACTCTGAGTCGAAAGGGACTTTTCTCCCTTGGGTTGTTTTTGTCAGATATTCTGTCACAGCAATGAGGAAAGCAACCCATGTGTATCCTATTGGGCTGATCAGCTGACACCCACAGGGGAGCTCCATGTCATGGCACCTTACTGTCCTCTCCAGTTCAGGCCCCCAGTAAATGTGCTTGTCAGCCCAGATGCCCAGACTCTCCAAAGAGAAACTGGTCCCTAACCAGTTTCCTCTTCTCTGGACTCATCATTATTATCTTATTATTCCCTAGTCCCTTTGTCTCTCATTCCCTTCTCCAGCACCCCAAACTTCTTCACCAGCCATTGT